TCCGATTCTATGAGTGGTCAACGCTGTCCATTGTTGATTCTATCGAACAAAAAAAAGAGATGAGAAAATGTTTCCAATTAATCATTGAATAATGAAATAATTGTATCTGTGATCTAGATGGAATAACAGTCGATCAAAGATCAGCGTTACTTAACACTACTCAAGAACATGAATGATTTTGTTACTATGAGAATCAAAACATAGAAAACCCAAATGGAAGGGTTTCAATAAGAATTGTACCAATTATAAGAAGTCATGCATGATGAGGATGATTAACAAAATTCTGCCTTTATGGACAATGAGTACTGTTCTTCTAACTGTTTTTGGCTTTACATAAGCTTCATAATACTCAATTCAGAAAAGTAACTAAGAGCACCAACAAGGAAATCCCTCAATATGTATTTTTCATGTATATTGCTATAACCTCAATATTAATAGCCTAATAAGCAGATCAATTTTCGATTAGAGGCAACAACAGTCACTCTTTTGTCAAAACTTTATCGGATGTCTCCAAAGGAACCGTCAGTTCTTGATAATTAACTTAACAAAATTCCAAGAAAAAACAAAACACACCAAAGCTTATGTCATAATCAATCATTACACCGTCTTCAAACACCGTAGAAGTTCAAAGAAGAAGGATGGAAAAAGTCAATCAATTTGGACTAAGCCAAAACTTATTCAAAATTGAAAGCGACACACTTCCCATGAAGAGTTTCGATGCAAATGAGATAGTTATAGAACCCTATAAATTGTGAGATAAAGATCCGTAAAATGGAACGTATATATATAGTGGGATAAGACGTAGTATGTATTCACCACCGTAGGATGTAATGAAAGTCTTGTGATATGCACCGTCCGATTATATTTTATTTTTGTCGTCGAAGTACACTAATACAACCGTTATTTCGTTCATTAAGCAAGGAAAATATTTGGCGCGGATTTCATTTATTTTTAAGTTCAGGAATATTGAAATACATAAACAAGTATCAATTAGCCCGAAAAAAAAAACACCTATCACTTAAATGTTTTTTTTAATGTTCCGTTCAAATAAATCAATTAGAAAATTACTTTTGCGACTACAAGAGAATATATAATTTAATATTTATAAATAAAAAATGAAGGAAAAAAAAGGGAACGAAAAAGGAAATAATACAGATCATTGATATTCTGTTACGCACGTTTTGAGGGTGAGGAAGAAGAAAGTCTGTTATCGTGTTCCCGTTTATTTGTACATACAGCCTCCTCATTTAAACAAATACACATTTATCTAATCTAATCTATCATCTTCTCTCTTTCTCTAATCATCTTCGCTCGATCACCTCATTCCCAGATCTTCATAAAAACTCAGATCACATATTGATCATCTCATTATTCCGCATTTTCCCATCAGAGCACTTTCGAAATTCAGAGAGACGTTAAATTGTTTATTATTTTTAAAAAGAAAAGAAAAAAAAAAAAAAGAAAGGTGTGGCTGGATGGGAACGTTCACGAGCTTCAGAAAAGCCTATGGAGCGCTCAAGGATTCCACCACCGTCGGTCTCGCTAAGGTCAACAGCGAATTCAAGGTCTAGATCCCTCCTCTCTTTTTTTTCTTGATTCACCTTTTGCAACATTTTCTTCGAAATTTGAAATGTACGTTTTTGACAAATCCAACGAAAGGTGTGTGATTTTTGATATTGGATCGTTATAGGATTTAGATATCGCGATCGTCAAGGCAACGAATCACGTCGAATCTCCTCCCAAAGAACGCCACGTTCGTAGTAAGTCTTCGAATTAATCAATCAAACCCTGAAATTGAATAGTGAATCGGCGAAATTAATTTTAATTAACGATGATTTTCACGTGTTGCAGAAATATTCTCGGCGACATCTGTAATACAACCACGAGCAGATGTAGCTTACTGCATTCATGCATTATCAAAAAGATTATCCAAAACTCGCAATTGGGTTGTAAGTTTTCCCTTCTTCAAGCTTTCTAATTAATATTATTATTTTCAAAATCGCGTTTGATTGATTAATCGCGTTTGATTCCACAAACGCACAGGTTGCAATGAAAGTGTTAATAGTAATTCACAGAACATTGAGAGAAGGTGATCCCACTTTTAGAGAAGAGCTTCTTAATTACTCTCACAGAAGACATATTCTCAGAATTTCCAACTTCAAAGACGACACAAGTCCTCTTGGTGAATGAATGAATACAAATCTTTCTCTCTCTATATATATATATATACGTTTCTTCATGCATGACTTCTTTTTTTTTTTTGGGTATGTTTCACTTATCATAAGTGTCTTCTTTGATGCAGCTTGGGATTGCTCTGCTTGGGTTCGAACATACGCACTCTTTCTAGAAGAGAGGCTTGAATGTTATCGGGTTTTAAAGTATGACATCGAGGCAGAGCGTTTGCCCAAAGGTTCAGGTGCAGCTTCCAAGGTTTGTTGCCCTCATGACTCTTCTCATCATCAAGAAACAGTCAATAAAATTTTCATTATAAATCTTTGTGTTGTTTCCAATCTCTCTATAGACGCATAGAACAAGGATGTTGTCTGGTGAAGATCTGTTAGAACAGTTACCTGCGTTGCAACAGCTTCTTTACCGGCTTATTGGATGTCAAGTAAAGTCATATGCAAACTCGAAACAAAAAAAAAAAAAAAAAAGAGTTTCTACTTCTTGTTTTTAGGGTGGAGAAGATTTCTTCTTATTTGTTTTCAGTTTTGCAGCCTGAAGGAGCAGCTTATAGCAACTATCTAATCCAGTATGCTCTTGCTTTGGTGCTTAAAGAAAGCTTCAAAATCTACTGTGCCATCAATGATGGAATCATTAATCTCGTTGACATGGTTTGTGTTAAAAAAAAAAAAAAGTTTCATTTCCTGCTTTTTGGCTCAGCTCTACGCTTATCTATTCAAAGATTGTATATATTTCTCTGTGTTGCTGTAGTTCTTTGAGATGACGAGGCATGATGCAGTGAAAGCTCTAAACATATACAAACGAGCTGGTCAACAGGTGATCCGCAGCTACAGTTTCTTCTTCTAATTCCAACATATGTTGTTAAGCTTTGCTTGCTAATGTTTTTTCTTTCTTTGCATAGGCTGAAAATCTGGCTGAGTTTTATGATTACTGCAAAGGTCTAGAGCTGGCAAGGAACTTTCAGTTCCCAACCTTGAGACAGGTTTGGTTCTTATACATGCAAAAACTGTTGTGTAATTAACTTCTCAAGGTTTTGTTACTTATATAATAACCGGTTTCAGCCTCCTCCATCGTTTCTCGCAACAATGGAAGAGTACATTAAAGAAGCGCCTCAGAGTGGTTCTGTACAGAAAAAGCTGGTAAGAGTTAATCTCAGCTCATCATATTCACAATATTTGGTTTCATTTAATGTTTGATGATCAACAGAGGATTTGATGTTTTGCTCTGTTTATATTTACAGGAGTATCAGGAAAAAGAGGAGGAAGAAGAACCACAAGAAGAAGAACAGCCTGAGGAACCTGCAGAAGACGAAAACCAAAACGAAAACACCGAAAAAGATCAGCCACTTCTGGAAGAAGAGGAAGAAGAGCCTAAAGAGGAGAAAGAAGAGGAAGAAGCTAAACCTTCACCATTGATAGACACTGATGACTTACTGGTGAGTCTTCCTCTTCTCTACACATTGTAAAACCAAACCTCAAAACTAAGTGACCCTTTTCCTTGGATTGGTGCAGGGTCTGAATGAAATAAACCCAAAAGCCGCAGAGATAGAGCAAAGCAATGCATTTGCTCTCGCCATATATCCACCAGGTAGAGTAAAAAATTCTCAACTTTCTCAAACATTACCATTGTAAGATATGGATATTAAAATTAAAGAACATTTCCTCTGCAGGACATGAAACTTCAGCCCCATCTAAGAGTCTAAGCTTAATAGAAGCCGGAGGAAGTGGTTGGGAGCTTGCACTTGTTACCCCACAGAACAACAACAGCAACAATAACAACAATCCTCGTCCTGCAATAGCAACAAAACTTGTAAGTCTCTCATTCGAACTTGCTCTCAAATTGATTAAAAACTTTGTATTTCAACTCACATGGTGTCTCTGTTTATAGGGCGGAGGATTTGATAACCTTCTGCTAGACAGTCTCTACGAAGACGATACAGCAAGAAGACAGATCCAGTTAACCAATGCCGGTTACGGATTTGGAGCCACGGCTACAACCAGAGAACCACCCTCATCGAACCCGAACCCGTTCGGGATGCAACAAGATCCTTTCGCAATGTCTAATAACATGGCTCCACCAACCAATGTTCAGATGGCAATGCAACAACAACAAATGATGATGATGAATAATCAAAATCCTTATAACAACAAATATCCACCTTATCATCATCAACATCACTTCTCGTCAAATCCTTCATCTTCTTCTTCTCCTAATCCTTTTGGTGACCCTTTCCTCGCTCTCCCTGCTCCTCCTTCATCTGCTACTCAGCAACAACACAACCATAATCATATGCTACTGTAGAAAGGGTCATCCTCCAATAACTCGTCTCTTGTTTTTTTATTTAAATTCGATTTCAGGCTATTAATTCATTTATTCTTTTCTAGTATTATTAAGACTCTTTACATTGTCAGAATTTTTCTTCTCCTTTTTTTCCCGTAATTTAATATTTATTTCAGCTTAATAGACCTTATTATATATTCCTTTGTGCTTTTTAGAATATTCAAAAAAATAGAAACCAAAAATTATCCATTTTCTTGATTTCTGCATAAAACCATTTACTAAATTAGTCTTTTTCATATGCGGAAGACTCGTATGTTCAGCTAACTATTTTTAGCAAACTATATCAACGGATAGAATTAACGGTCCGGGACAAAAAAGAAAGGAGGGAAAATTATAATTTAATGCATTCTTGACCTCCCTCGGCATTTATAAACCGTCGAAACCGTTAGGGCTAAAAAATATCCCAAGAAACTCATGTCCCTTGTGCTAGAAGAAACCTATATCTCAAATTCTATCACTGCTAAAAAAAACCCAAAACCCTCTTCAAAATTTCTCATATATACAACACAATTACACGCTCTCTCTCACACACACATACAGAGACAAATGAATTTTCAGATTACAAAATGATACAAATGAAATTATGTAGTTTACAAATAAACTTTACATTTCCGACAACAACTTATGTCCAAGTCTACGAAGTTCTTTAAGAGCTTCTTCAATTGTTAGTCTTCCGTTCTCAGTCACAATCTCCGGTGAACCTAACTCCAACACCGACTCTATCACCTGATACCAAAACATTCAAAAAAAAAAGAGGGTCAATCATGCTTAATTTTGGTTCATAATAATTGAATCCGTTACTCAAACCACGAAATCTTACCTTAACATGTTCAAGTATGGACTGTCCTGTATTCTTTAATGCATCTCCATTATCTGCTGTTGAATCCGAATTGGTCTTTTCGTCTTCAGGATCTATTGGTTTAGTTTCAGGATCTCTCGGTTTGGCTTCAGGATCTACCGGTTTGGCTTCAGGATCTAGCGGTTTAGCTTCTTTAGTCTCAGAGGTCTCCTCCCCTGACGAGCTTCTCCCTAACCACCATAGCCTCTGAAACTTACCCGAAAATGTCTTCCTCTCCGTGGAGTTACTAGTCCCTGATTTCGCCACTGACTCGCTCTCACGAACCGGAAGAGGCAAATCCGCGTAGTTCTTCTCGCTTCTGCCTATATCGGAACTGTTATCCTCATAATCAGCGCTCGGTGAATCAGATACTGTAGACGAGCGTTCGATATCAGTATCCGTGTTTGTGAACTCGGGAGGCTCAATCTCCTTTTCCCGTGATAAATCATCGAGTAAACTACGTCTAATAGGCGGCTTGTTCCCGGTTTTATTTGCTTCAGCAGGTGATGGTTCAGATTCGGTCCTCGAAAGCCTTAGCTTCACTCTCTCCGACCAACTCTTTCTCCCTGCTTTTGGTCTCTGCGACGCTTTCTTCTTCCTTTCTTCTTCTTCCGCGCTGTTCAAAACTCTCCACTTCTCTTCCCAGTAGCTCTCAGGTACTATTCCCACAGGTGAACAAGAACCAAGTGAAATCGAATCAACCGATAAGCTGTGACCTCTCGTCGATTTTCTCGGACCTTTAGGTATCAAATCACGACGAGCATTGATTTCCAGAGCAAGACTCTGCAAAGACTTGGCCTTTTCGATAACTTTACTCAGATCGATCTCCTCGGGAAAGTTCAGTAACCTCTTGAGAGAGGAAGTTGCGTTTTCAGTTGCTAACAGCGATGATCTCAGGTAGAGTATCATCGAAACCGCCATTCCTGTGACCAGAGCTCCCCGAGGAGAGCTAAGGATCCTGAACTCAAACCCTAAACCAGCCTCAACGCCTCTCTCTACCTCGGAATTGTCAGCAGAGAATATCTCATCCCACACGATCAACAGATTGTTCAGTGGAAACTCTCTACCGAACAAAACACGTAGCCAACGGAGCGCAAAGTACTGCGGCTCAACCCCGAGCTCGACTAGATGGCTGTGAAGAGAAGCGTCGACAAGAGACAGTAAATGATACAATGCTGCAGAAGCTTCTATCACAGGAGGTAGTCCCGTGACTGAATCATTTGGAGCAGAGTACACGAAAAAATTAGCCACGGAAACCGAGCCAATGGAGGATCCACCGTACATGAGAGCGTCAAACATGGAGTACGCGTCGTGTTCCATGAATTTCTCAGAGAGGACGATTCCTAGTTCGCCTTCTGCTCCATACGCATCGCTCAACAGCACAGCGGTCTGTGTCTCGGCGTCGAGTTCATCGAAACTCTTTGGTTTTTTCTTCTTGGTGCTTCCATAGTGTGGAGCGTTCTCGTCTCCTTCTTCTTCTTCTTCTTCCATGGAATCATCAAGAACCTTTTTTATATCGAAATCGTAAGCAGCAGAATCACGTTCTTGAAAGGCTAGCTCGTCAAACAAATCAATGAACTGATCTTCATAGTTTGATCTCACTTCCGTGAGGTATTGTACATCCACTTGAAGAACATAAAGTAAAGGAGCCAATAATTCATGCATCCCTAAAACACCATAATCGAAGTTTAAATCACATAACTTCTTTCGAGAAAAACTATCCAAATTAAGTTATCGAATCAAACCTTGTCTATAACCAATCTCTGGATGCTTCAAACACCACAAGAGAAGTATCCGTCTTAGCATCCCTTGACATCCAGAGGATTGAAAGTAACTTCCATGTTCTGGATACAACCGTGAAAGATCTTGATCGAGTGTTTTCTCCAGCTCTGCGTTACGGAAGAATCTTCCCCAAGTACTATCTACACAACACCAAGACTTAGATATGATTACTACATTGGAGAATAATGCAATTGAATGTATCGCAATCTCACTGAGAAGTATTGTTTTTTACCAGGATTTTGTGATAAAGGATTATCAATCGTTAGATCTGGAGAATTGATTCCTTTCTTGGGGAAATGTGGATCAATTAAGAGTCGTCTTCTCAATGCAGCATATCTAAGAAACAGCGTATAAAGATCATAACTTTACTTTTCCGAGATACTAATGAAATTTACCAGAGTCTGAATCTGGAGCTAACAAATTGCGAAGAAACACAAGCCCAAAAACCCAAAATCTCCAATCGTTCTTCTAACTACAATGAATGGTGAAAATGTAGGGAAAGTCAAAACCTTCTTCTGGAATCAGCGGTTACTCTGCGAAGCTCATCGATGGTGGAGGAAGGAGAAGATGGCAAAATTCCAAGGTTTATTCGCCATCGGACACCGCGAAGCTTCTCGAACCGGTGATCTCCAGGCGGCGTGACGTTGGAAGCGCACGGGTCTTGAGTTTTCGCTCTCTGGATTTCTTCAGAAATCGCCATGTTTTACACAACGCTCTTGCTTCATCCAATCTTCGATTTGGTGCAAAGAAACAAAACAATTGGATTTTAATGAGGAAAACAACGAATACGATTAATATTGCAAAAACTTTTGTCGCTTTTTTTTTTCTTTCGACAAATCGAATCAATTTGTATTCTCGTCTCTGTGTTTTTTTTTGGGTGTCGTTGAGCTGGGAATCTGGGATTGGTTTTGAGCTGAGAATAGTTTTGGTCCTACGAAACGGCGTAGTTTCACGTCCATAGGTTTGTTTTTATTTTTTCTGAAAAAAATATTTGATTGGATATCGAGAAAGAGGATACAATCAGTAGAAACGTTATTATTGTTGAAAATTAGTATGCCCAAATCTATTATATAAAGAGTGGGTTGTGTCTCACAAACTTGACACATCAGTTCTTATTATTTTGACATATCAGCTTTAAAAACAAACTCAAATTCTTATTCATTAATTAATGGTCAAATGACTCAAATTACTAATCAGATTAATTCAACCTCAATTCTCTATGTCGTATTAATTTTGCAAAAACTAATTAGTAGCATCAAAAGTGGAGTAAATAATCCGACTTGAAGTGCAAGAAGAGAAATGTCGCAGGAAAAAAATTTCTTACAATCTATTTGTTGGGTTTTCACATATCTTTGGTAAAAACAAAAGAAATGTCCACAGCTCAAAACAAGCAAAAGCTTTGAAGTTTCATGTAAATGAAATTTTACTTTCTCTTCTGATTCATCGTTAATTATCATAGTTTCACTTTTTTGATCTTTTTGAATTTGCAGCCTCATGTGTATAAGTCTTTATTTCTTATGCTTCAGTTGATGATGTAGTGGGACTTGATTAAAAGATCAGATCACTAGCAAATATGACACTGAGATAAGAACAGCATTGATTTAGGGAACAAAGATGACGTTAGAATGGAGAAATGCTGGCTTTTAAATATCTCAAAGCACGTCAAGTTATAAAAATCTCTTTTAAGCTCATCAACTTTTCTGAACTGGTTGATTTTCATGTAAATTTATCATACCCCAGTTTATACCAATTTCATAAAGGTAACACTTCAATTACTCTTTTGAATTTCTGGTTGATATTTTGGGAGACTAGAGCCTTTATATATTTAACAACACCATGAAGTGAATGTACAATGATCCAAAAAAGGGTTAACAAAGAAAGGTGAGAGGTTTGAAAGCTATGAGGAAGGAGAGAGGTTGAGGAAAGCGAGAGCTGAGATTGAGAAGAAAGTTAGGGATTTAGAAAGAAAATGTGCGGTTTTGGAAGTGAGGGAAATGAGAGAGAAACTGGAATTGGAGGGTTATAAATCTGAGAAGAAATCTCTGAGTAAATCACAGAAAATGAAATGGAGAAAGAGTTAAAGAGAGCCGAGTTGTATAAGAAAGTTGAAGAAGCTATGAACACAGTATCTATGTGGAATGAGAGGATCATTGAGCCTACTAATGGAGTGCACGGTGACCAAAATAGTTCTTTGAAAGAACAATTATAGTGGCCAGTGGTTTAGTTCAAATAGAAGATCTAGATGAATTTTTAAGCGACTCTATACGAGCCAGCGGAGAAATAGAGATTGTTTAAAGATTACTACATGTCGACAACTACAATTGAAATTTTATCAACAATAATGAATTCATATAATTAGTTTCTCAATTTTAGAATTAGCATGTTAACTTTTTTATTCTGTAAAAATGTTATGCACATATCAAATAAAACACCAAACTTAGATAATCGCAACATAAATTTCCAAAATATTAAATTAAAAATTATTAATTGAAAGAAAACCCGTGTGTATACACGGATATTTATCTAGTTCTATTGTAAAAGTTAGGTTTTGCAAGGATGATTAGAATGCGAGTCATTTTAAAACAAAACTAAGAACCAACAAAAATTAGAAAGAATGTATCACTAAAGTATAGAACACAGAATAGAACTTTATGTAGAACAATAAGATGATTGGTATAAAATGTTACAATTCTGTATTCCTCATATAGCTCACCAGTCAATAGGTGTGATTGTTACTTGTTTGAGCTCGTGGAAACAGATGTATGGAGTTGATATTTGTGTGACTACTGACTAGTAAATAATGAGTATTGGTGTACTTACGTTATAATAATGAATTTACAAAGGAAAGATCGACAAAGTGATACCAATATATCTTAAACCTGTTGAAGAAAATGTGATTTGTATTTTTGTCTTTGTGTTCATTAATTTCAAATGCTGTAAATATAACTACAGAAGTTAAGTTAAATTTCTTTATAAATTTATGTTCATTGCATATTCGATGGGGTTGTTAAATCCTGGAATCGTTCTACCACCAGTGATATAAGAGCATCACCAATGCTGATATCCAGTTTGGGTCTCTTAGCATTTTTTAATTTCGTTTAACATTTTTTTTATTGGGAAGAGCTCCATGTTTTATACTCCTCCAACCCTGATCCCCAATTTAAGGGTTGGTTCATCTAGATTAATTTTTTGTAATTAAGAAAAAATTCAAACATACAATTTTTGAACATATGTTGAACATGAAATACCATAATATTGATAAAGTCAAACTATAAAATATGTTGAACATGAAATACCATAATTTAAACTACAATTTTTAACATAAAAGATAAAGATAGATGAACTAAACCCTAGCACTAGCGTGCTCCAACGTCCATTCCCGAGCTCTTCCATCAAATCCCGACCTGTCTTCCTTGTACATCTTTGCTATATTTTCATCGTAGTACTCTCCCTCACCCAATGTTGGGTTGTTCAGCATCTCATGAATTTTTGTGAGAACCTTATGGATGGTGCTACTGGGCGGTGACAGGAAAATACTCAGGGAAAACCACTCGATTTCTCTCTCGAAAACAAAATGAGACGGACAAAAAAAAACGAAAAACACACCACTTTCCTTTTCATTCCAGCCACTCACCTTGCGCCACATCATCAACGATACTGGCTTGAGACGGGCTCGTCGGTCTCATTTGAAAGAGACGGTACGTTCAAATAATTCGGCCCAAAGTTTTTTTTATTTGCATTCTACCCCTTCAAGCCCACTGACGTACCGTGGATAATACCGTGTTGGAGATGGCCTAACCTATAGTTGGACAAGTGAACTAAACGTGAGTATGATAGGCTTGTTAGGTACCTTGGGTATATTATATAAAGGAAACCAAAAAAGAAAGTCTTGTTATTGAATTAGTAAGAACTAGGAAAGAGAATTGTGGTTAAAACACGACGAAAACAAAAGAATACTTGACCACATATTGTCAATAAATTGGATATTCCCATAAAATACGGATAGATACAGATCACATTTTCCTAAACACCATACGTTTTCTTGTATTGTTTAGTCACTATCTCAAAATCCTTTACCAATTACGGTGGAAATATTTTTATTCATATTGAGAACTTTTTAGGTATTATAATCGTTAGGAAAGTGATAATATATGAGTAAAAATAAAAACGAACTTTATAACCTGGCTAAAGATTTTAAAATTCATATGCAACTTTTCATCGTGGGTTAGAAATATATATCTAATTTTTCATTTTAATCACATCCCATTTGTTCTACCTTTTGCATTTTATGTTTCAGAACTAATAAAATACTATAGGTGATTACCTGATTTGACCGCAACAACTGAATCAAGTAATACTTGGTAACAATGACCACCATGCTTATCCTCTTATATGTAATGTAATTCGTCTACTAGTGTCTACTAGATTTTTGTGGTCGAAATGTCTACTAGATTTTTTTTGGCTCTATATTTAGCTCTTATGTTAATTGTCATGATCTCGTCACTACAGGAAAACTCGCGAGGATATGTCTTAAATCAATTTCGTACTGGGAAAATGGAATCTAAGAGGTTCTTCCGAACCGAAATGATTTTGAAATCTCGAAATGGGATTTGCTCTGTTCAATCTAGGAGCTTTAGCTGACCTTTACTTAAAGGCCAGTTTCCCCACGTTGGGCTTGTATTATCCCTTTGGTGGGATTGTTATTAATTAACCTTTACAGGTTTGTATATTTCTCTCTGTGAAACTATCTAGTAAGTTTGTTTATCCAATTTAACACAATGAGTTTGACGATAAAATGAAATACTAATTAGGTTTGGACAATATAACGAGACCTTGAACTGTATAATGCAAAGGGCAAAAACTTAAATTTGGCCCACATAAGCCAACCTAGGATGGCGGGTCATTTTTACTACCTCCAAGTTGCATTATCATCACAACTGTGGACTTGAACAAAGAAGCAAATCAAACTATTGACAAAAACAAAAGTTGACAAAAAAGTAAGAAGAAAATCAACTGTTTTTATATCTGTGTTTTCTATATTAAAATTAGATATCAGTAACTACTCCCTCTTTTTTTACAAAAATGAAATTAGGATTTGTTGTTTAAAATTTGGCATTGAAAATACAAAATAACATTTTTTTATGAAACAAAAATAAAGTTTCAAAATAACATTTATATAAAACGAAGGATATTTTAATTTACAGCAGTTTGATAAATATAAATCCAAAGAAAAATTATAATCTCTCTTTTTTTCACATAGAAAGATTAAGGAAAATTACTAGGAAATATCTTTACAAAAAAAAGAAAAAATATACATGTCAGTCAACAATATATTCTTGACATATTAATGACCCATCTAACCCCATATATTATGGGCTAAACCTAAACCATATCACCATCGCTGAATTACTGTCGAACCAGAACTCGTTGTCGCCATACCTGATAGCCATAGATGACGCCATGACGCAGGAAAATAAAAATACAAGTTTTTCAATTCAATTAAATTGCTACGAAATTTGTAAATTTGTAGTAGCAAATACATCCAAAAAACTTCCCCAAAAAAATAATATACATCCAAAAAACTTCACAACAAAAAATAATAAACATCCACAAAAATGTGGTCCCAATTTGTCTGAAATTTCGTAGCTATTGCGAATTTATTTTGTTATTATTCACGGATGAATAAAAACGATAAATCAGTTTTTGGTAAAGTGGAGTCGATTTTCTCTCTTGTCAAAACCCACTTTTTCGACAATATTGAAACAAACTAGCATCTCCACGTAGTTTTCAAACTAGCATCTCCACGTAGTTTCTTTCGGTCATAGTAAAATTCTTAAGAAAAAAAGTAATTCACAAAATTATTTCTTATA